CCCGATTAGGATTTTCGATCAGGAAAAGTCAACCGTAGTTTGACTTTTGATTTAAAAAGTGTTCCAATGGTGGGATCATGGTCCATGAAGTTCCTATGGCTTAGTAAAGTCTACTCAAGAAGCTTCAAGGCTTCAAGATACCCAGAACACCAATAGTCGATTCAGAGTTCTTCAATCAATCGGTTCGTCTGACTGAAAAGTCAACTCATTGACCAACATGGTTTTGACCAAAAATTGAATGCAACTATGTTCCTAATGGTATACCACATCTATTCATGATTTTTGGTGACCATTGGATCAAGAATTGATAAGTAATCGAAAAGTTGGGAAATTAAGGTTTTGAAAAGGGCAAAGCCATAACTCCTTAACCACACAAGGGTTTTTGACCTAGTTTCAAGGGGAACGAGTTCCTAAAACAAGCATAAATATTGTAGTACCTAATTGGGGATTATTAAAAAGTACAAGTGGGTTCCATAACTCTTCCTGGTTAGAGAGAACCAAGATCCACAAGTTGGCAAAAACTCACATTCGCAAAACTAGACCAGCATGAGTTTTTTTATTCCAAAACCTCTCCAAATCGATGCTAATCAAAGGCTAAACCTCATTTATGATGTTTTAATTGATAATGAACATTTTAATATCAATTCACACGAAAATGACACAAAGATCAAAGGAAATCATTATTTAATGCAAGTTGCAAAAGTGAATAGTGAAGAAAGAGAAAAAAGGTGGCTACCCTTGTCAAATCATCAACTTTACTTCAACAAGTCACCTCTTAACCTATCAATCATGATGAAAATAATATATAGGGTATGTAGAATATCTTAGTAGAGTTGCTTAAAGACAAGTATGAAGATTGCATTGGAAAACTCGAAGATTTTCATGATGGAAGGTTAAAATTGGCAATTTGCTTCACTTTTGGCCATACCTTGATCCAAGGCCTTTGACTATAAATAGAACTAAATTCCTACATCACAAACACACCAGTTCTATGCTAGAAACCATCTAGAACTCTCTCCCTTACACAATCACCAAATTCTTGCAAAATCTCACTAAGTCTCCAAAATCCCTCAAAATCTATTTTTGCAAAGCACCTTCCAAAACCATTTCCAAACTTTTTCCAACTCAAGAAACACTTCAAACACATCAAATATGATGTATTAAAGCTATCCAAATCACCTCCACACTTATGTAACAAGGTTTGAATGAGTTGGTCTTTGAAACCTTTGGATTTTAGAGTTTTTCCTTCATTTACAAGGCATTTCGTCCACTAGCTTGCTTGGAGGTTGTTTGGAGCATCTATTCATCAACCTAGGAACATTTGAAGACCTTGTAAGAGCTCTCAATATCTCTGGTTTTCTTATTGCTTAAGATTGCTTCAAGAGGTAAACCTAAAACTCATAAATGTGAACTTTCTACTTGCATTTCACATGCTACCATGAATGTTTTTAGGGTTTTCACCTTCCTATCTCTCATTTATTCATTTCAAAACTTTAATTTTATTCTCTTTTGAGTTTTATTTTAAAGTTATGATTTTGGCTTGTTAGCACCCTTGTGTACTTGAGTTTGACTAAAACTCTTGCTTGTAAGCATTTGTGTTTGATCTTCTCTTAAAACTTGAAAGTTTTCCCCGTGAAGTTTTTAAACTTTTCACTTACATTTGTTGTGACATTATTTGATTACGCTTGATAATTGTAATTACATATGGCATCTTGTAAGCTCTAAGAAACCATTCTTTGTCAAGATACATCTTTATCTTTGTTAAGATCCCCTGCCATCTTTGTTAAGATATATCCCCATCTTTGTTAAGATATGTTTGTGGTTGTGACTTCCTTATGCTTAAGTCTTGTAAGAACTTACCCTTCTTGATATTGTAATATCTTGATACTTGCTTTGGTTGTGACCATCTATCTTGATTGAAATCATTAATATTGTAATATCTTAAATGCTTGTTTTGGTTGTAACCATTCATCCTGATTTAGATCCTTGCTTATTATAATATGCTTGATCATTCTTGGTTGTAACCATATCCCTTATATTAATCATGTGTGAATGTTTATGCTTTGTTAAGTTTACTTTCCCCAAGTGATGGAACTCTTTAGTTCTCATCCAAGTTGCGTCATCTTTTCCCTTCCAAAGGAAAGTCTCTCTATTGACCCTTGGGTCATAGATAGCTCATTAAACTCATAGGTTTGGATAAAACCTTCTCCCCCTTTTGGTATGGATAGAACCAATAGGATTTACCCTCATAGGTCTGGATAGAACCTTCTCCCCCTTTTTGGTCTGGATAGAACCAATAGGATTTAAACTCGTAGGTCTGGATAGAACCTTCTCCCTCTGTTGGTCTGGAAAGAACCAATTGATCCTTATTCTGTAGTTCGTGCCCTGAACTACGACCGCTCTGATTTCTCATTGGACAATGAGAATACGTAGGCACAAGATGCGATATCTTGACGAGCAACCTTCCCCCTTCTCCCACCTTTTGGTCTGGATAGAACCAATTAGTCTTACAACGTAGAACTTTAGGATAGAGTTTGATTAACTCTATGTAAGAATCATGGATATGATTACTTACTCCCCTCTTGAGTGTTATAACATAGATCTAGAGAGTTTTGTTAAACTCTACACAAGCATGGATATGTTTGTTCCCCTTTGAACCTTTATCATAATCAAGTGTTCTTCAACCTTAGTGAGGTGAACTACGATTGCTCTGATTCTATCCTAGTTAGGATACGTAGGCAGAGGACGCGACGTCTTTGCGAGCAAACTTAGAAACTATCTTTAGGTTTTAACCTACACTCTTTTACCCAATCCCAAATCCTTAGCAAACATTTACCAACTCAACATGCAAACAAACAAAAGGTTCCTGTAGAGTACTACAGATGCCTAGGATGTGAAATACCTACCTTATGCATAACCAACCCCCGATCCCCGAATCTCTTAGCATTGTTGTTACATTGCGAAAAGGGTTTTTCTTTCTTTAGACCTTTCCTTTGGATAAATTAAAGTTCGGTTGTAATTTAAGAATTAAGATTCAAGTTAATCAATAGCTTGGTATCACGATTCTCACTGCAACACATGGTCGCGGTTTTTTATTTTTGCGTTTGGTTTTGGGGTTTGTAATTTACGCGAGTGATCGTCGCGACGCTTTCTTTACTTTCCACACTTTAATTTCTCCATATGATGATATTTGTTGCTTGCATGTTTTACCGTTATACCTTCCGAAGGATTAGATCTAGCCGTTTGACCGCCGAGTCAATAGTCTTAACCCTTTTGAACATTTCAAAACCCTAATTAGTCTAGGCATCCCGCTGTGGACGAAAATGCCCTTTCACCCTAGCTTTAGGTCAAAGAGTCGCCGTACTCTGTTTTAGGGTTTCCCGCCGTGGAACATTTAGTCAACCCTGATTTTAACCCTAATTTCATTCAACACTTCAACGTAGAAATATGAGTTTCGAACTCCACGTAAGCGCTTCCTTAAGAAACGCTTATTCCCCCATTGAAACCTTGATCACAGTCAAGAAGTTTCTAACCTCCCTTTAGAGGGGAACTACAATTACTCTGATTCCATTTCCGTCAGGATATATAGGCACAAGATGCGACGTCTTGTCGAGTAAACTTAGGACTAACCCTTAGGTCTTTTAGGTCACTTTATCCCTTAGCTCAATATATACTTAAAGCAAATAATAAAATAAAATAGCAAAAATAAACAAAAGGTTCCTGTAGAGTACTACAGAAGTTTAGGGTGCTAGTACCTTCCCTAAGCTTAACCAACCATTACCTAGATCTCTCCATGCATTGTGTTTACAATGCAAAAATAGGTTTTTCCCTCTTTTGACCTTTTCCTTCGGATAAATCAAAGATCGGTTGTAAACTAAAGATGTGATTCCAATTAATTAATAATTTGATATCCTATTCTAACCCCAACAGTGAGGAACCACTTAGTATTGCCTAACACTCTATCAATTCTTGAGTAAATGGGACCAGCTGTTTGTTTATTGGACCAAGTGAAATGACCCCCAATGTTATCCATTTCACTTAAACCAGTGTTCCTCATCATATTTGTCAGGTGTACATATTCTCTCTCACTTACTAGATTCCTTCCAATTTTGTCTTGAGATTTGGTTACATTGTTGTAATCACCAATAACACACCAAGGGCCTTGGCTGCTAACAAATATGTGTTCAATTTCTGTCCACAAGGTTTTCCTTTGGTTTAGATGGTTATGTGCATAAACAACAGTAAGCCAGTGTTTGAAAACTCCACAATTATCAAAGACACCACAGTGTATACATTGGTTGCTACTTCGAATGAATTTCACATTTACCCTGTTAACATCCCAATGAATCCAGATTCTACCATTTGGATGGTCTTTGTAGTTGTCAATGTGATTTCCATATATCATAAGTTTCTCGCGGATGGTTTTGGCTTTGGTTTCTTTAACTCTGGTTTCAATCAAAATAATAATAGCAGGCTTTAGCTCTTGGAGACGGGATCGAATCTCACGAATTTTGCCTACTTTATTGAGTCCCCTTATGTTCTATGAGACTAACATGGTTCGAGGCTGATGGTCACTTGATGGTCATTCAAAACCTCAAGTGCCTCAAAACCATTGTTACAGTTGATGTTGTTGTTTGTATCAGTAGCTATGATTTTACCTTTATCCCTAACAGACTTCCGTGCTCTTGTCCAAGAATCACTTCTGATTCCTGATGTTTCCTCTCTTTCTGGTGGTTTGCCAAGCGTTATGTTGGTGGACATTTCAGGTGGCTTGAGCTTTGGTTTCCATTGTTGCTTATTCCCACGCTCTTCACATTTATGCCCCATTTTCTGACATGTATCACATAATTTTGGTTTCCATTCGTAACTCACAGGCTGCATTATTATATCGCTTTCAACATTTCTAATGGCTATTTCATCAATCAGAGGTTGTGTAATGTCTACCTCAATCAGTAATCTTGCATATGATACACAAAGTTTATTTGCAGTGCATTCGTCAGTCACCAGCGATTTGCCAATAGCGCTTCCAATTTTGCTGAGACTTTTTGCCCCCCATAGATGAGGGGAAATTGGGGAAGTTTGACCCTAATAGGTAAGGTTCTTAGCATATCCTTTTTTAAGTTGAAACCAGTTTGCCATTCCTTCAATATAACGGCCATGTTTCGAATCATGTAAGGCCCTTTCATCATGACTGCTTCCTTGTCTTCTTGGGAGATAAATCTGATCAGAAAATATCCGTCATCGTGATAATACAAATCTGGCATCTTCACGAAATTCCACATTCTCTGCATAAAGTTCTTCACCGTGTTCATGCTTAGGTCGTTCCCCACAACATAAAGGATTAGAGCATTATCCCAAAATTGTATTTCTGTTTCAATATCTTCTTGTTCAATGTCAATTTTAATCATTCCATTGATGAGCTTTGGCGCAACATATTCTATTGCCATTCCTCTTGCAGGGTTTCGGTTGTCATTGATTACATCAACCCATGGTTTACGTTCTTCAGTTTAGGTTTTTGACGGTTCTGTTAGGGTTTCACTGTTCTCTCTCGCCAGCGCATTTGTAGTAGCTTTGTCTTCTCCGGCGATGGTTCCTGAAACATTCCCAGGTTTCTGAACACTAATAGTGGTGTTACTTGATTCAGGCTCAAGTGTCTTCAAGTTAGTGAGAGTTTCCGGTGACGGTGGCACCGTTGATTTCGGCCGCCCTCGTCCCCTTTTCGTTGTCACCATCTTCTACTAAATCTGTTCAAATTATTCTTATATTAAGGTTGGAATTAAGTGTTCAACTATGTTGCGTTATTATATGTATCATTGATATTGTTGTATTGAATTTGTAATGGAGTTTTGAAATATTTATTTTATTAAGTTGTAAATATATGATTATGTGTGACATATGCATGAAATTAGTTTCATATTATTAGTTTATTTAATAAACGGTTTGACCAGTTGAACCAATTGAACCTTAACCCAAATGTTTTACCGGTTTGATCTATGGTCCAGTTTTTAAAATATTGATTTTAATAATTAATTATAATTTTATTGGGATGGTTATTACAAGTTGAACCAAACCATTAATGTGGTATAATTTAGTGGAGCTTATGAACCATGATGAATATCCTAGCTCACTTACGAAAGAAAAAAGAATGTGGCGTATATAAGATGTATTTAAAAGTACATTTCCAAATTTTAAGAGTAGTAGGAGTGCGAGGAGAAATTTTTAACCCATACCCCTTCATTTACTCTCCTATCCCTACATTATATTCTTTGGACTAAAATGCCCTCACGTAAATTGTTTATTTGTTTCATTTTTTAAAACTTTTTCTCTCATTTGCATCGGAAGATTTTCGAGACAGTGAAAAATAATTTGTTTATCCGAATCTCTTTTTACAAGTTATCTGATACACATTCAGTAAATCGGAACTGAAAGAATAAGTTATTCGATTCTTTTTACTTATCTAAATACTTTGGATAAGATATTCGGTACCCAAAAAATCCTAAAACTCTTTTTAGGAGCGATCATATTTATTGAAATACTACATCAAATCTCTTTCTTAAAGTGTTCAAATTTTGTTTTTTAAATTTTTTTTATAAATTTTTTCTTTTATGTGTTATTTATTTATTTTGTTACTTTACATTTTTTTATTTTTTAAATTGTTTTTTTTTACTCCAAATGACTTTTCATTAAGTCTTCTGATATAAAAAAAAATATAAATACCAAATATCTTGAAATAAAGAGTTTTGGTATACAAAAATTTTAAATCGGAAGTTTTTTTCAATTGTTCAAAACATTAAAATATAAAAGTAATACTGGAACACATTTTCAAGTTGTTCGAAATAAAATAAAAAAATACACCAGATAAATTATTACAAGTTATTCGATATACAAAAGTTACGCATCAAAATTCGTTTTAAATGTTATTCGATACACATACGTAGGGGTATAATTTTTCAAAATTTTCAAACAAATAATAAAAAATAAAATAATAAATTTGTTAAAAAACAAAGTTGACAATTTTTATAAAATATGGGATAAGACTCAAAATAATATGGGTTCATAAAAGAGCCCAATATAATATTTACGGGCTTATGGAAAAGCCCAATATAATTCTAATAAAATCTATTCACCGCGAAGGTACCGAATTCGTTGTGAATCTATTTCATTTCTCATTCATCTTCTTCCTTAAACTCTCTATCAATCTCTTGTTCTGCGTTTTTTTCACACCATGGCAACAGCTTCAGGTAAATCATCTCCTTTTCCTAATTCAATTCAATTCAATTTTAGGGTCTCTGATGTCTTAGGGTTTCCGCTATCAACTTCGCTTTCTATTACTCCATTATTGTTCTTAAACCAAATTAGGATCCTTTTCCCAATTCAATTCAATTTTAGGATCTCTGATGTCTTAGGGTTTCCGCTATCAACTTCGCTTTCTATTACTCCATTATTGTTTTTAAACCAAATTAGGATCCTTTTCCCAATTCAATTCAATTCAATTTTAGGATCTCTGATGTCTTAGGGTTTCCGCTATCAACTTCGCTTTCTATTACTCCATTATTGTTTTTAAACCAAATTAGGATCCTTTTCCCAATTCAATTCAATTCAATTTTAGGATCTCTGATGTCTTAGGGTTTCCGCTATCAACTTCGCTTTCTATTACTCCATTATTGTTCTTAAACCAAATTAGGATCCTTTTCCCAATTCAATTCAATTCAATTTTAGGATCTCTGATGTCTTAGGGTTTCCGCTATCAACTTCGCTTTCTATTACTCCATTATTGTTCTTAAACCAAATTAGGATCCTTTTCCCAATTCAATTCAATTCAATTTTAGGATCTCTGATGTCTTAGGGTTTCCGCTATCAACTTCGCTTTCTATTACTCCATTATTGTTCTTAAACCAAATTAGGATCCTTTTCCCAATTCAATTCAATTTTAGGATCTCTGATGTCTTAGGGTTTCCCAACTTGTGTATCTTTTCCCCCTTAATAAGTTTGTATTGTTTTATTTTATATGTCTCCAGATAAAATTTTCCGATTAAATCACACGTAGACTTCAATTAAAAAATTATTACTGTGTTGTGTTACTAATGATACAACCATGGTAATTTGGTAAAAATAATTTTTTGTTACAAAATTGGGTTAGGGTTTGCAGTTTTGTTTAGCGAGTTATTTTTGCTTCTGTAATTTTAATTAGACGGTTTGTGCATGGATTGCAGTGGCATTCAAGTCAAGGGAAGATCATCGAAAACAGATTGAGCTTGAGGAAGCCCGAAAGGCCGGGCTTGCACCTGCTGAGGTTGATGAAGATGGAAAGGAAATCAATCCCCATATTCCTCAGTATATGTCATCTGCACCTTGGTATCTTAATGCTGAGAGGCCTGTAAGTTTTTCCCTTCCCTCCCTCTTATTTTTTTATTTATTTGTAACAGCAACAAATTCCTATTTCCTAATTAACTACTTAGAAATTGGTATAAATCTCAATGTAGTGCAAGTCTTTTGTATCTTTCAATTGAATTGGTAGTTGGTAGTTGCTCGGCGATAGAGACAAGCTGTTTTTTTTGTTCTTCAAACTTTTATTTGACGTATATAAATTGACATATTCTTCTGTCGTTTTCTTCTTCCCATGTAGAGTTTGAAACATCAAAGGAAATGGAAATCTGATCCTAATTACACCAAATCATGGTACGATAGAGGTGCTAAAATTTTTCAGGCCAGCAAGTATAGGAAAGGTGCATGTGAGAAGTAAGTGATCTCTTTCACAATTTCTAGAGGCTTGTGTATTGTGTTTTGCACCCAATGTGATGGATGCTTATTGTGATCTTTACAAGCTTGAATAGATGCATGATCTTTGTTAAAATCACCTCTTGGCTGTTTTTTGTTATATGTTTGAGGTTAATTGCTTCTACTTTGCACTGCATGTTAGGTTTATAAGTATTATAGTTAATTACTTAACTTAGTTTAGGGATCTTATATTGTTTGGTTTTATTATAGAGTTTGATAGCACTGCTTGTCTCTGCATATATTTAGACTTCCTTCCTCTTTCAAGTTTAGGTTATTATGTTAATATTCATCTTCTTTTTATAGTTGTGGAGCAATGACACATGCTGCCAAGGCATGCATGGAAAGACCACGAAAAGTAGGAGCAAAACATACAAACAAGCACATTGCTGCTGATGAAAAGGTAGAAACTTTTGAGCTTGACTATGATGGAAAACGAGATAGATGGAATGGGTATGATGCATCAACCTACGCCCGTGTCATTGAGAGATATGAAGCCAGAGATGATGCTCGAAAGAAGTACTTGAAGGAACAACAGCTGGAGAAATTGGAGAAGGGCGACCAAAATGATGAGGGTGCTGCTATTGATGAGGCCGAAGATGAAGATGATTTGAGGGTAGATGAGGCCAAGGTTGATGAAAGCAAACAAATGGACTTTGCAAAGGTTGAGAAGCGTGTGCGAACAACAGGTGGTGGGAGTACTGGAACTGTGAGGTAATTGTTATGTGGCTTTCATTGTAAAATTGTAAGACCAATCACTATTTTCTTACATGGATTATAACTGAAATTTCTTAAACCTTCAGGAATCTACGAATTCGAGAGGATACCGCAAAATATCTTCTCAATCTCGATGTAAATTCAGCCCATTATGACCCCAAGACCAGGTCCATGCGTGAAGATCCTCTTCCTGAGGCTGATCCAAATGAAAAGTTTTACTTGGTAATTTATCTAAGATTAATTTTTTCAGGAAACTTGATGTTTTGATTTCTTTTTTTTTAATCTTGTACTTAGGTTAAAATTTATTTATGTTCTGTAGGGCGATAACCAATATAGAAATAGTGGTCAAGCTTTGGAATTCAAAGACTTAAACATCCATGCTTGGGAAGCATTTGACAAGGGACAAGATGTTCACATGCAAGCAGCTCCTTCCCAAGCCGAATTGCTCTATAAGAATTTCAAGGTCATGAAGGACAAATTGAAATCTCAAACAAAGGAAACTATTATTGAGAAGTATGGCAATGCAGCTGACGATGACAAGCTTCCAAGAGAACTTCTGCTGGGTCAGAGTGAGAGGCAAGTTGAGTATGACCGTGCTGGTAGAATTATTAAGGGACAGGTATGACATGTGTTCTATATCTTTATTGTTTCCCAAATTTAAGTTGCATATAAATCTTACTTGAAGCGCTTCTTTGTGATATTGCTGGATCTTTGTTCAACTGTAAGCATTGTGCTTTTATGTTTTGCCAGTCGTTAGGATGATATTAACTGTTATTTATCTGTTGCTTCTAATAGGAAGCTGCAATCCCCAGAAGCAAGTATGAAGAAGATGTTTACATTAACAACCACACAACTGTTTGGGGTTCATGGTGGAAGGATCATCAATGGGGCTTTAAGTGCTGCAAGCAGACAATACGTAACAGTTATTGTACTGGTACTGCTGGTATTGAAGCTGCTGAAGCTGCAAATGATCTTATGAGAGCTAATATTGCTCGTAAAGAAGCTGCTGCAAGTTCGTATGCTGATTCCATATCCCTGCATTGCCTTTCTCTATCTTCTCCTTCTCTTATCTTGTTATTAATATCTTCTTCTGATAATTGCCTATTGCATCTTGATTTTTAACTGTATTCATAAATTCCTTACAGAGGATCCTACACCACCAGAAGAGAAAAGGCCTGCTACATGGGGAAGTGATGTCCCAGAGGATCTAGTTCTGGATGAAAAATTGTTTGCCGATGCA